TGCTTGTTAGCCATCTGAATGTCGTCTTCGGTGAAGTGCCTGTTCATATCCTGTGCCCATTTTTCTATTGGATTCTTTACCTTTATCTTGTTGTGCTGCTCAAGTATTTAATAAATTCTGGATATAAGTCCCTTATGTGATATGTTATTACCGAATACTTTTTCCCAGTCAGTGGCCTCCCTTTTTACCCTGTTGGAGAAGTGTTTGGATGTGCATAGGGATTTGAGTCTTAGAAGATCCCATTCATCTACATTATCTTCTCCTGGTTGTAGGTATGACTGTGGATCTTTCTAAGTAAAATGGAGTCATTGATAACGGCAATCTCTTATCATTTTACTGTGATTTTGCCTATTGGTCCAGTGGTGAGGATTTTTGTTTTCTTGAGGTTGAGATGTAACTCATATTCAAGGCTGTAGTCTTTGATCTTCTTCAGTAAGTGCTTTCAAGTCTACTTTCTACCAGCAGGATTGTATTATCTGTATAATACAGGCTGTTGATGAGTCTTCCTCTAATCCTGATGCCACATTCCTCTTCATATAATCTAGTTTCTTAAATTATTTGCTCAGCATACAACTTGAGTAGATATGGAGAAAGGATACAATCAGGATATCAACCTACCACTCATCTGTTAGTTTGCCGTATTGTCGTGGCGTGGGTATTACTGTTAGGCTGAAAGCTATGTTTTTGTTATTTCATATACCAGCAATGTCACCCATAGTGGACAGGTTTTAGTGGAGCTCCTAGATTAAGGGTAAGAAGCAATGCCAGCCATCTACTTCTAAAATAATAAATCCTCAAAAACTCTGTGCACTTACAACAACTGCGAGACATCACCTCACTCCAGCAATAATAGCAAAGTTCAACAGGGCAGCAAAACCAAATGCTGGCAATATTGTGGAGAGATTGGAACTCTTATTCACTGTTAGGGGGGATGCAAAATGGTACAACCACTATAGAAGCAGTCCAGCACTTTCTCAAAAAGGTCAAAATAAAAATACCATTTGACCCAGAAATTCCACTACTGGGAATATACCATAAAGAAATCAGA